ATATATTATATATATATTTGTTTGTATTTAAATTATAGGAAAATCTTTCCAAAATAACACATTTTTTCTTCCTTCTTTGAAAATGAACAAAAAAGAAAAAACTAAATCATACAGGAATATAATTAATAAATAAAAATACCAGCAGTCACCAAGAGATGGAGACATAACACAAATAATAAAGTCTAGGTACTTCCTACAAAGGTGATGTTTCCAACATGTTCTCTTAGTTCTCGCCCTGCAGGGTGCGCTTGTGGTGCGTTGTGGTAGGCAGCCTATTCATTTGAAGGAGCTGCCTACTGCAGCTAAATCGCACTTAAAGAGGAACACTTATTTTAAACATTAACCCATTCAGTGGGGCCACCACCGCACTGGAAGAGGGAACTCCTCGTCTTTCTCTAGGGACCGGCATTCAGAGGAGATACTCACCTGATCCTCGATCCCGCAGAGGTGAACGCTCACTTATCTCCCCCGCTGTCAGTCAGAACATGTGTGACATAAATGTTGGTATCTAAAGCATTCAGTTCCAGTTTATAACAAATACCCCTGTGGTGAACGTGCCCCAGTGGAATTTGTCTTTCGGCTGTACTCTCTTCTAGGTACAAGAAATAAAAAAAAAAATCAAACAGGAAGAGTAGTACTCATTCACAATGGTCCGGTGGGAGGACCTGCAAATCCAACAACATGGGTCTATAACAAAAGGTATCATCTCTGTAGGCTGACACTTTAAAATATTATGCACCCTGAGGTTGTGTAACCACTTAAAGGCCTCATTCACACAGGTAAAGCCGATCCCGGGAGGGACAGGTGCTGCATGTAATTGCGCGCAGCAGTCTGTTCTTCCCTATGAGAGGACATGGCTGTACGGTGTCATATAGAAACCCGAACTGCACATCTGTGCGGGTACGGATGTCTGCACTTGAACGCAGATAGGATCCATACCCGCATGGATGACTGCGTGCAGCCCTGTACTCACATAGGGAAGAACAGGCTGCTGCTGCCGCGCACAATCACACGCATCACTTGTCCCTCCCGGGATCGGCTGTTCACGGACATGCACACTGCTTGGACGTGCACACCAGTGGCGGAACTACCGCCGGTGCAGGCGGTGCGGACGCACCAGGGCCTCCGGCCTCTAGGGGGCCCAGCACAGTCCCAGCGCCGGATCGGTACCCAGCGGCCAGCGGGCCCCCCATCTCTGCGCCGAGAGTGTCAGATCATCCGTTCATCC